CCACTTAGCAGGGTGAAAGCCGTCCTAACCGGTGTGGCTCAGTGGATGGAGCATCGGCCTTCGGACTCAAGGCTCCCAGGTTCGATTCCGGTCAAGGGCAGGCACCTTGGTTGCAGGCACATCTCCAGTAGGAGGTGTGCAGGACACAGCTGATCGATGTTTCTCTCTCATCCATGTTTCTAACTCTCTCTCCCTATCCCTTCCTCTCTGTAAAAAAAAAATAAAAAAATTAATAAAATATATTAAAAATAAGTAAATAAAAGGGTAAAAGCCATTGTCAGCTATATAAAAGCGAGTGGAGGGCTGTGCTTGGCCTATAGCTCACATAGTTGGCCAATCCCTGACCGAAGCGTTTGCAGCTCATTCAGCCAAACATCGACAGTGCACGCCTCTCCCGACTCCGGCTTTTCTGGCTAACGCAGGTGGTTTGTCCCATCCTCCACGGAGGCCTCGAGTGGAGGGTGCTGGGAAGACACCCTCCTCCCTGACCACCTGTGTTGCAGGCCAAGGCGCTCTTCCAACGGTCCGCCGGCTCCCCCCCCCCCCCCCCCAGCACGTTCCCGTCCCTCTCTCTCCGGCTCCGCGCCTCTGGGCCTTGCCAAAGCTCCCGGCCTCCCCGTCCGGCCGGCCAGGCCTCCTCATCCTTTTCGGTTCAGTCTCAGACCCGGTGCTGTCGGAGCTCCAGAGCCAGCTCCTTTTCACAAAGGGAGACTCATGGGCAGGGGAAGCGAGGGGGAGGTCAGCCAGAGGTGAGTTCCTGGAGGAGAGGGATTCTACGTTGGGCCTGGGACAGGGATGGGAAAAGGGAAGAGAGATTGTAGCAAGTATGAGTGGTCCCAGGGGGGCACTCGGCTTATCGGGGTGACCACTCGGTGGGGTAGACAGATGCCTAATCTCGGTGCACCTGGGATGAGCACCATGTTGTATGTCACTGTCACTGAAAAATGTTTTTTTTTAAAAGAGGGGGCGGAGAGCCCTGGCCGGGCGGGGTGGCTCCGTGGTTGGAGCGTTGTCCCGTGTCTCTGGTTCGATTCCTGGTAGGGGAACAGGCCCAGGTGGCGGGTTTGATCCTTGGGAGGGGTGCATGCTAGAGGCGAGCGTTCGATGTTTCTCTCTCACATTGATGTCTCTCTCTCTCTCCCCCCATCCCTTATTCTCTCTCAAATCAATAAAAATATATGTATTTTACAAGTGTGTGTGTGTGTGTTGTGGGGAGAATGAAAGAGGGGGTGTTCCAGGCAAAAGCAGGAGAGACTGAGCTGTGGGCAGCTGACAGTGAGGGGACAGTCCACACGCAGAGCCCAGGTGAAGGGAGAGCAATGAGACGGGTCGGGGTGGGACTTCAGTGGAGGGCTGGCCTGCTAGGCCCCGAGAGCCCAGATTCTGAGCAGGTGGCCTGAACTTCCAGCCCTCATCTGTAACCGCAGTCCTGCACTCTCTATTCCTTCATCTATTCATCCGACAGACATCCAGTGAACCCACGAGAGCCAGGCATGCTTGGCGTGTTAGGGGAAAGAAGAGACACGGGAACGAATGCTGAATCGCATACGTGTCCCGCCCTCCGGAAACGGGGAGTAGGAGAGAGCACACACATGTACCTATGGGTATGTGCTCCCTGGGACTGTGTCAGGGGGTCCAGGGAGGGAGCAGCAATGGGCAGGGGAGAGGGGACGCCAGAGGGAGTTCTGTGGATGGGAAGGATTTGAGCCAGGACTTACGGGGGAGGGGGTGTCGGAGCCTGTGCAACCTGGGGGAGGGCTATCCAGGAGGAAGTGACAAGGAGCGAAGGGGGTCCAGGCAAGGGCAAGGCGCTCATCTCGGTGCTTGTTGCCAGTGGGGGTGTTATTGGCATTGTTTGGAGGCGATATTTTATTTTTAAAATATATATTTTATTGTTTTTTTTGTGTTTTTTTTGTTTTTATAAATAGGGAGAGGGATAGAAAGCTAGAAACATCGATGAGAGAGAAACATCGACCACTGGGGATGTGCCCGCAACCAATGTACGTGCCCTTGTCCGGAATCGAACCCGGGACCCTTCAGTCCGCAGGCTGACGCTCTATCCACTGAGCCAAATCGCTTTTGGCCCAAGGAGGTCTTTTAGCATCCCCACCACCTCCCGGCCCCTCACCTGACGCCGGTGGCCACTCGCGTTTTCCAGCCACACTCCCCTCTCTGCGGGAAGCGCCGGATAGGTCTGTGAAGGCAAGCGGTGACATGGAAAGTTGGACGGGACAATCAGCGGCCCGGCCACGGAGGGCCTCCAGCGCCAGGAGCAGACATTTGTGCTTTATTAGGCAAGGAGCGTCCACTGAGACCCTGCGGGGGGAGGGATGAACGGGGGGCCTCCAGCAACCTCTCACCCAGGTCCCTTCCCATCGGGGCGGGCTGCTTTACCCACAATTCCTGACGGAGGGCAAAGGTCAGGGGAGGTCCCATCTGCATATCCCTGCGGATTGCCGGCATGTCCTATTAGAATTGCATTTGCTGTGTTGGGATTGGACTCCTATCTCCTTGTCTCCCCCTGTCTTTCGGATCAAGCCACTTGGCAGTGACCACGATACCCCCCTCCCCCCCCTCACCCCGTCATTGGTCCACACGGGGAGAATTTGTGTGAAACAAGAAGAAAAAGGCAGCCTTTTAGGGTTTTCTCTTCCCTCCCGTCCAGGGCCCACTGCTGCTGAGGCATCCCCCTGGCGCCCAGACAAGGGAACCATTCAGCCTGACCGAAGGGAGAGGAAGACCCTCCCTGCCCGCCCCTCCCCTGGCCGGGCCGGCCCAGAGGACCCCACGCTGATGGAGGCTCATTGTGGCCGCTTCTGGAGAAACCCAGAGGCCGTCAGGGGACTCTGGGCTGAGCAGCCAGTTAACGGCCCTCAACATTTGTGAAAAGAATCACTACTTGTCGGAAGTCAAAGAGGAATGAGCCCTCCCGGGCTGCCGCTGGCACCACCCCTGGCAAGAAGACTAACAGCAAAACCAGCAGGAGCGGCCTGGCTGCCGAGAGGCCGGCAGAGGCTGGAGGAACCCAGGAGCGGGGAGGGCTCCCCTGCGGACACCTGCAGCCTGAAACCTAACGCCCCAAATGCGAGAAACACAACGGCTCTGACCAGGGCGCAGAGGAGCCTCCTGCACCCCCTCCCTCCCGCCCTCCCGTCCGCCAAGAGTGTTCAAAGCCACACACGGCAGGAAAGCAGGAGGGACGGCTGCAGAATGGAAGTCGGTCTGGGCCGGCTTTAGGAATTACTCTGCTCCAGTCTTGACTGCGTGGAGTCCAGGCACCTCATCCTGTTTTAGGCCTTGCTCTTCTTACAGCAAAAACATAGAAGTAAGAAGGAAGACCCTCAGATAAACGAAGCCAAGGAGGCGGCAGGGAGATGTGCTAGAGGGGAGGCTGGTGGGAGTCTCGGCAGAATGCAGCTTGGGTGGGAGGTCTGGGGTTCAGCCGAGGGCCAGCAGCCCAGAGCACACTTGTCCTGGGGGGGTGGGGGGTGGCTGGGAAGGGGTTCAGTCCCTGCTGAGAGGCCCGGGGAGGGGAGCAGGGTGCAAGGCAGGGAGAATTCGTTCCCGAGAACTCCCTCTGTGCCTCGTCCCCGCCCTGCTCAGCGGACAGCGGGCCTCTCCCCTGGGAGAGGAAACGCAGATGGAGGTCAGAGGCCCTCGCCGTGGCCAGGTGCAGGGCCCGGGTGAGCCTGCGAGCAGAGGTGAAAGCAGCCAGTGCACGCGCACTCCGCTCCGCTCTGTTCCTGAAGGGACTGGCAGGGCTCGTCTCTCAGTCGGAGCTCTGCCTTCCCTCCCCACCACCCAAATGCAAAAACGTGGCCTCTCACACGTCATTTCTACATCAAAGCAAAGCACAACAAGCCACCTCAACTCACAGCAGAGCGCCCACAGCCACCTCACGCACATAAAAACCAAACCAGAGCACGGAGGGGTCACACTCATGCGTCTTATGCCCCGTCGGGCTGACGCTGACAGCTGTCGGGCAGACCCCCAGCTCCCGGTAACGGTGGCACTGAAGCGTCCGAGCCTGTCCTCACTGGCACCTCAGAGCCCCTCTCATACGCGCCTCACCTAACACTGGAGGATCACTTCCGGGTGGGGATGGATGTAGAATGCCGGGGAGTGTCCCGAGACTCCAGCATTTTCTGCCTCGCTGGAGACTGTCCCAGCTGGCCCTCCCAACATGTGCACACAGAAACTGCGGGAACACTCTGTTCAGACGGCATGGCTCCCACAAACAGAAAAACAATCCCGGGAGACGGAGCTGCGAGGTCTGAATGTCATTTATTGACAGCAGTTTACACACTGGCTTTCTCCCCAGGCCCAGGCCGTGCCTTCAAAGCACAGGCACCGCGCCCTGGAGGAGGGGAGCAGAGCCAGGAGCACAGAACGCACGGCCCTGGCAGGCACGCCCAGCCCTGCCCGCCCCTGCCCGCCGGGCAGGATGCAATCCTTCACGTTGGAATTCCTTCGGGCGTTTGAGACCCACGCGGGTGGAGAGGAAGTCTTCCTGGAACTCAGCTCAGGCCAGGCCTCTGCTCCCGTGAGCGGAGTCCGCCTCAGCTGCAGCAGCCCTGGGGGGTGGGGTGCACGCATCCAGCCCACCCACCTGCACAGGCGGATCCTCACATCCACGCCGAGCGCACACCTGCTTCCGCTGGCCCCGCGAGAGAGAGAATCAGCCTTATGGGGAGAGACAGACCACTTCCTCTGACCCGCCCGGCCCCTCAGCTGGGGCTGCGAGGAATGGCCGGAAAGTGGAGGCCTGTGTACTCGGCTCGGCGAGTGGCGTCTTCGCACCCTGGTAGGCGTAAGGCTGCAGGCTAGCGGTTCCCTCAGCTGACCACCGAGCCCCCAGCCCATCGCGCACGACCCTCCCTTTCTTCTGCCAGGGCCGCGGCCAGGCTGGAGCTCGCAGGCACTTGGCAGGGGTGGGGAGGGAGGTGGGTGAACAAAGGGGGTGGGAATGAGAACAGAAGAGTTTCGTCTGATAAGAGTAATTAGAGATCTGAAGTGATTTTACTTTTATTTCCTCCACGTTAAGCCAATCATGAAATCTCACAGTGATTCTGGGGTGGGGGCGGAAGGAGTGCGATGTTAGAATCCTCGGGGCCGGGCCCCGGGCCGCGGGCAGGGCAGGCCTCACTGGGGAAGCTGCAGGAGCACCGACTGCCCGGCCGGCAGGTAGGTGATGTTCCGAGAGCGGGACAGCTGGTAGGCGATGTCCTCGGCGGCTTCCAGCTTGCGCAGCTCGATCAGCCCGTCGCCCGCCGTAGCGAGCGAGTTTGCGATCAGCTCGGCGGCTTTGGAATCACCCTCCGCAGAGATGATGGCTGCCTTCTTCTGCTGCTCGGCCTGAGGCAGGAGGTGGGGAGAGACCAAGGTCACATGAAGGCCCAGGTTGGGCACCCTGATTCCCCAAGGAACTCTGGGTATTTGCCTTCTCCTCCTCCTCTGGGTGGGGTCAACAAGCACTGTGAGCCACCAATCCTCTCCTGTCCTGGACCACCTACTCCTCACTTTAGGGATACACTGTCAGCTGCATGAACAGCTGTCTTTTTCCAAAGTTCTCATCATTATTAATAGCAATCTAGTCCGGCCATGCTGCTCTGAGCCGGAGCATCCCAGGCCCAGGAAACAGGAGAGAAAGGTAGAATCAATGCTCAGGCTCCTCTTTCCCTCCAGTCCCAGGTCACAGTGACTTTCACCAAATCCAGCGTCGCTGAGCCGGAGAAGCAGGCGTGTGGCGCTCCTTAGAGCTGCCAGGCACCCAGGCACCAGGATGAGGTCCCCTGGACCTGCCATACTCCTATCAACAGGACTCTGTCTGCAATGCATGACCAATAGAATGAACACAACTTGGAAACTTCTAGGCTGTGACTATTCACTCGACAAATGTTTACGGAGCACGTAGTATCTCCAGGCACATGTCTCAGACTCCGGAGGCAGGCGTTTATATAAGTTAAAAAAAAAGTTCCCGCTCATAGTTTACATTCTCTGAAATTAAATGTTTGCCACTCATATGTCCCGCTTCTCCCTCATTTCAAGGCCTAAGGGGTGTTGGATTAGAACAATGATTTTCAACCTTTTTCATCTCATGACACACATAAACTAAACACTCAAATTCTATGGCACACCTGCCGAGACCGGTTTGGCTCAATGGATAGAGCGTCGGCTTGGGGACTGAAAGGTCCTGGGTTGGATTCTGGTCAAGGGCATGCACCTTGGTTGCTGGCATATCCCCAGTAGGGGATGTGCAAGAGGCAGCTGATTGATGACCCTCTCTCATCGATGTTTCTAACTCTCTATCTCTCTCCCTTCCTCTCTGTACAAAAAAATCAATAAAATATATTAAAAAAAAATTCTACGGCACACCTAAAAATGTATTTTTTGGTGATCTGACAAAAAAAAAAAAAAAAAAGGAAAAAAGGTATAATTTTGATCCACTCACACCAGATGGCTATTGTGTTGGCTGTCGCCATTTTCTTATTTGACAATCTAAGGGAAGAGAGGTCAGGGCCCCGACTAAACAGCCAGGCAATGTGTGTTTTAGACTCTGCGGTACGCTGCTCGGAGACGGCAGGTTTAGAACGCCAACGCCAGAGAATGAGGTGGGAAGAATGAAATACACCTTTGCAGGGACCAGGAAGGCCGGGCAGGGATGCAAGTACGCTGTGTCCCACCACACTCCGACACATCTGGATGGACTTAGCGTTTAAACAAACCCGGTGTCGATGGAGCATCTGGTGCAACATTTGATCCTTTTCCCTGTCAGCTTTCACTGAGCAACTACAGTTAATAATGACCTCTCAGCGAAGCTGAAAATATTCCAGGAGAAAAACATTTTTATTTGTAGAAAGTGTGTTTAATCTTAGGGAAGTGGAGGGAAAAAAAAACGGCCCTTGGGTGACTGGGGAGCGTAACTTGACTTATCCCTGACCAGCCCCCAAAGACCCTGGAGCCAACTGCGGGAGCACAGTCCCTTCAAGCCCTTCCAGCGATCCCGGAAGGAGAGATGACAGGCGATCAATTTCCAGGCCACCCAGCAACCGGGGCCGAGCGCAGGAGGGGAGAGGAGAGGGGCTCCTGCCATCTGGCCGAACGCTCACCTTTTCCACCACGAACCTGGCCCTTTCCGCTTCCTGCTGGGCCACCTGTTTGGCTTCTACTGCTTCTGTGAACTCCTTCCCGAAGGTCAGATGCGTCTGGAGGGAGAGAGGGGGCACAGAGGAGGCGGTGTAATTGCTCAGACAGCGTGGCTGGAGGCCCCGCGGCCGCCAGAGGGAATGGCTCTAGCAGCTGGAGGCTTCGCGAGGCCAGATCCCCTTTCCACCTCCATAGCCGCGTCCAGACTACGTGACACCCGAGCCCCCGGCTGCCCACTGCTCCGCACACCACAACGTCACCCTCAGGGCGACCCTCTCACGTGGAAAACGGCCCACGGCCACGGAAGGATCCACTCCACTGACCGGCTCCCTAAGAAGGAGACCATTCCCCCCGTGACCAGTGCTCTGCGAAGACCCTCTGGGGCCCCCGGGAGGCCAGGTGGAGCCCCCGAGCGGGAGGATGCAGCTGGTTCTCAGGGACTCGAGAGCCGGCTGCTCCGCCTTCTGGGCTAACCAGCCCCCTTCCTCTCAGGCCCCTCCGCCACCGAACAGGAAGAGGCCGGGAGACCATGGATCGCACATCAGGGTGTTCCCTGTGTGAGTGCTTCTGGGAAAGGGCTTAAAGAGGGAAGGCAGCTAAAGCCATTGCTTAGGAAGAAGGCTTAAAATTCGGATTATCCAGATATTTCCTAAGAACATAAATAACAGACTTGGCTGAAGGGACTGTCTATACTGATCGTGCAAACAGAGGGAACAGGTCTCAGAATGCCTAATGGTGAGTCTAGAAATGATTAGTAGCATTGGTTTTGCTATCAAATTCTACTGGTTTTATTTCCTCCCCCACTCTCCCAACTTCTGCTTTTCTTAAGCATAAGTAACTCAACTTTCCTCCTGGAGAGTCCATCCTAGACTCACTGCCTTCCACAACTGTTAGCACTCCTGACTCTTACGCTGCAGCTGCTCTACTCTGCCTGCTCCGTTTCTGGACTCTTGGTGAACGATTGGGGAGGAAAATGCAATCCTGAGAGATGAGAAATAAAATGTGCAATTAAGGAATAAATTTTCTTTCTGAAAGGGCCAGCTGAGGGCAGCAAAATTCCCCATGAAATCTAATTTTCCTCTCACACCTCTTAGATATGGTTTCTTGTGGTCAGCCCACATTTCCCCAGAATGGAGCATGTGGTTAAAGTTTCACAAAAGGCCAAGCTTCTCCTTGGGTTTTTACTGAGCGTTTTCTCACAGCCGAGGTGCCCAGGTTAACAGTAAGTGGAAGGAATTAGCAGTCAGAGGAGCCAAATGGCTGCAGCCTGGAATCTTGCCAGTAGAGGGAGCCCACGGGCCCCTCCACGTCGGGCAATGGATGCCAGGTGGGGCTGGGCGGAGCCGGGCCCTGCAGCGACCAGGTGTTGGGAGTGTGATGTTTGAACAGCTGCACAGATGCTGAGGGGGAAGTGGTGCTTTTGCCTAGCGATGCATAGGAGAACCAAACAGGAAACACTACCTCACTGCCCGAACAAATCACTCCAAGTGGTTTTTCCCACGAATCTAGAAACATGACCCTCCCTCTCGCTGCCTCCATCTGAAATGCTATCCCGCCTGTACTGCTTTCTGCCTGCATTGCTTTCCGTCTGACTTACGGCGTTGAGCGTATATAAATACACAGACACACAGTCTCAGGCCTCGGGGCCGGCCCTCATACCCACACCGGCTGTGGGTAGCAGGACCCTTCACTGACACCCTATCGCCTTTCACTGGGGTTCCCCGGGCTCACGTCACTGCGCCTCAGGCCCTGGTGCCGGGAAGTTCCCACGCGTCAGACTGGGAGGTCTGGGCTGGGGAGAGAGCCTATCTGAGTGCTCTCTGGTCTCCCCAGGCAGCTTCCTCCTGTGCCCACGGTCAACAAGGCAGCTTCCTGGGGGGCTCACACAGCCCGTCGGTTTGGGATGGTGAAAAGCTCGTGGTTAGGTTACCCCGTGGGCAGCGCCACAAGTCAAAGGAAAAGGGTGTGGCCAGGGTGAGGGCAAGAAGTTCCCATGCTTTCAAGCCTCATGTCTAGGAACGTGGAAGGCCGGACCTGACTGCGTCTCCCCAGAAACGGAGCCAGGCCCCCCAGCACGCACCGGGCCCTCCCTGCAGGCTCCGCCAGGATCTTACCAGGGACACGTCGTCCAGGATGAGCCCGAAGGTGGCGGCTCGCTCTGTGAGGTCGTCGCTCACCTGCCTGGAGACCAGCTCTCTCTGGGTGATGAGTTCTCCGGCGTCAAAGCGAGCCTGGTTCCGGGGGAGGGCACAGCAGCCGGTCAGGATAACGGGGAGTGGAAAAGGAACCGGAAAACTACCAGCCACGCCCCTCCCGCCCCTCCGGGATCTCCGGGGGCCGCACGCCGTCCGCTCACCACCACGGACTTGAGGATCTCGGTGGTGATGGACGGCAGCACGCGCTCGTCGTAGTCCTCCCCGATGCTGGTGAAGATGCGGGGCAGCTGGCTGGCGACCGGGCGGAAGAGGATTCGCAGGGTGATGTTGACGTTCTGTAAATCTTCGGGCAGGGAGGGGGAAATGCCGAGTTAAACATAAAACTCACAGTGGCCTCCTAGGGGACCTCCTACCCCCAACTTCCTACGAATAATAAGCAGAGTTGCTAATCCTAGGGGCACGGAGCAAAGGGGTCTGGGTTTCCTGGTAGAGAACCCAGCAGAGCACCAGTGAGGAGCCTCTTAAAGGCGTCTGGTGACAACGGCTTTTCCGTGCGTCCTGAAGGCCCCGGACACAAGCAGCAGGTGCTATGGGCTGTGTGGAACACGGAGTGCTTCAGAAAACAGGGCCAAGCTGAGAATTCTAGGGCCTGTCCAAGGCCCGGTGCCCGTGACCCAGGCCGGGAGCGTGCTTTGGGGGGGTTACCGGGGGCTCAGCAGAAATAGTCCACTTTGGACCGAACCAACAGTCCAAAGGCCTGGGCTGCAATCCCACTCCGCTGGTTACTAATTACCCGACTTTGCTAAGCTTCAGCCAACCTCAACTTAGTTCTCTAGGAACAGGGGTGGTTTCATCTGACTTCCAGGCACGTTGAAGGAAACGGACAGAGAAGACACACGAACGCGCAGTCAAACGCAACAGATGTAAGAGACAGAATCATCTGCAGCCCACCTCTCCTCACCCAGGCAGAGGCCCAGGGAGGGAAACACAGCTGCCCTGACACGCAGGGCCTGCGCAGAGCCGACGCGCGGTCACAGCTGGCTTGCAGTCAACAAGAATATGGATCACGCGCCCCTGGTCTCTGGAAGTCCCTACCACATGTTTGGAAGCTAGGTACACGAAGTATCCTTAAACAACAGCAAACAGCCTAGGAAGAAAGCCCCAAGAGGTGGGAAGCTGAGACCTAGGCTTTTAAGTTCAAGTTCGATGTATGCTTCTCGCTAAACCCCACCGACCTCTGGTTTCCTCTGTGGTAGAGGCAAGCCAGGCCCTCCCCGGAGGCTCCTTCCTCTCCCGGGCCAGGAGCTAGGGACAGATGAGGCCCTACCGACTTACCCTCCATCCTCTGCCCGACACGCCGCTCTCTCTAAACCCCAGCTCGGATGGAAGCTCCTCGCAGGAGCCTGGCCACCCACCGGTGGCCTCTCTGCTCCCGGCGCACCGCATAACCTTGGCTCCCGGACTCACTACACTGCACCTGTCTGTCCACATCTCTGTCTCCCCAGCCACAGAACGGAGGCCTCTGCCTTAGTCATCTAGCCCAGCCCCTACCCTCATGAAGCCGGGCACGGTCACAGCGAGCACACATCAGCTGAGGAAGGCACCGAGTGTGACCCTCTCTCCTCCTGCCATGTGGAAGCCTGGCTGCTGCGCTGGCACCTGCTACTCCCCTCACGGCCTGAGCACCTCTACGAATGGGATGGGGGAGAACAGGGATAGCAATTCGTTTTAGGCTCCGACTGCATAGCCCGTGGCGTGTCGGACACCCGGGAAGTGGGCCTCCGCCTGAGAGAGAACGCTGGAGGCCAGCACTGCAGCACACAGAGGCCTCGGCACGTCAGGCGAAGGGTGAGCCAGCTGCGAGGGGAAACGGAGCCGCTAGATGCGATTACAGAGTGATTCTGGGGAACAAGAACCAATGGGAAGGGTCAACGGAGGGAGCAAGGGCACCTTCCAATTTCTCTCAAATTGGATCACAATGTCACTCTTGAACCCGATCTTTGCGTGTTTCTTTAAATGCCTGCAGTTGCCTGTGTGTGTGCCCTAAGTATATGTATTTCTTTTTTTTCTTTTTTCTTTTTTAAAATATATTTTATTGATATTTTACAGAGCGGAAGGGAGAGAGATAGAGAGCTAGGAACGACGATGAGAAAGAAGCATCGGCCAGCTGCCTCTTGCACACCCCCAACTGGGGATGTGCCCGCAACCAAGGCACATGCCCTTGACCGGAATCGAACCTGGGACCTTTCAGTCCCCAAGCCGACGCTCTATCCGTTGAGCCAAACCGGTTTCGGCAGTATATGTATTTCTTGCTGTGAATCAGGTACGCTCTCCGGGGAAAAGACCTAGGAATTCCTACGTGAAGTTCACCCTCTCTGGCTCCCTCAGCACCCCTCCCACCCTCCCCTGGACATGCAGGCGGCTCACCTTTGCTCCCTGTGATGACTGGCACGTTGCGGGGCCGGGAGCGGCAGTCGAAGATGATGGGTTTCTGCACCCAGGGGATGAGGAAGTGCGTCCCCTCGCCCACCACGATGTCCTGCACGCCGCGGAACCGGTCGAAGATGACCGCTCTGTGCCCGGCGTCCACTAGGGAGGAGGAGATCGAAGGGTCAGGGAATTCCTCTCACCCGTTCCATGCCTGGCGAGGGTCTTGGTGTATCTGTTCATGTATTAATCTGCCCTCTCCTGCTCCACCTTCTGGCACTTCTGGTCTCCAGAGGCTTCTAATAGCTACAGATCTAAGCGATCACTTCCTGCCCCATGTGTCCCCCCCCAAGCACCTTGCTAACGGGGCCCCGGCATCCTCTCTCCTTGAAACAACTGGCTGCGGGTTTCCTGATGAACCACCCCATCCCCAAGCTCCCACCCACACATTTCCAGAAACCACCTCCCCCACTTCTTCCTAAAACTCCCGTCTTCACTGTCACCACAGTTCAACCTGCTTCCAATTTTACCTCGTGTTCCCAGAGGCAGCACCCCCTCTACGAGAACCCTAATATCCAGAAGGTCCCTCTTTCTTTCCAAAAGCTTCTTTTTCCCTAAGGTTTTGAGGGGTTGGAGAGCTGTCTTGTTGAGAAACTCGTGATGATGATCACTGTCTAACTCTTCAGGGATGAATGGCCAAGAAGATCAAAATGGCCCTAGCTGGTGCTCCGTGGTTAGAGCCTCGGCCCACGAACTGAACGTTGTGGGTTCAATTCTGGTCAAGGGCACCTACCCTACTTGCAAGATCAACCCCCAGTGCCCCAGGGGCACGTGCAGGAGGCAACCAATCAAACTCTCTCTCTCTCTTTCCCCCCCTCCACTCTCTCTAAAGATCAATGGAGAAAATATCCTCAGGTTAGGATTCAAAACACACAGACACTGACCAAACAACAAACCGAGAAGATCAGAGGGGAAAGCTGTGCCATGGAAGCCAAGCAGGCTTTCCTGACCCGCTGCTTTATGGTCACCATCGTTGGTCCGAATGTCCCCGCTCTGAAATTAACCCTCCTCTTGTCGGACACCACCTGTCATTCACGAGGTGAGTCCATCTCCTGCTGCTTGCCAACAGTGAAGGTTAGAGAAATCAGTTGGAGGGGGGCTTAGAGGTGACCTAGTCCTATGGTCGGCCAACTGCGGCTCATGAGCCACATGCGGCTCTTTGGCCCCTTGAGTGTGGCTCTTCCACTTGATACCACCGCCCGGGCGAGTCTATGTTGAAGAAGTGGCGTTAGAAGGAGTTTTAAGTTTAAAAAACTTGGCTCTCAAAAGAAATCTCCATCGTTGTCCTGTGGACGAATGAGTTTGCCGACCACCGACCTACTTCAATCCCCCCAGCTGCAGCAGCTCCTGCTCAGCACAAGGCCACCGCAGGCCGACAGCCCCTGCTGGTCTTCCCGCGGGCGGAAGAGAACGGGCAAGCTCTCTGCTTCAGCGAGACAGCGACATCCTGGCTGTCCGCTGCGACGTCTGGGGGGCAGCACCCCTCACAGGAACTAGCAGCTGGAAACATCCAGCCAGCGGCCGGACGGGGAGGCTCCCTGGGAAGACAGGCTCCGAGAGGAGCTCTGGCTGAAGGACCGGGCTCTGACGACAACGGGACCACGTGGTGTGGGGCGGCAGTGGGTGAGCCGTCTCGGTCACCCACACTTTCGCGCTGGGCAGCGCAGCCACTGGGGTGTCCCGGGGGCGGTGCCGACTGACAGAGACCCTCCAGCACCGGAGCCTCACCATTGTACAAGGCCGAGTTCACCACGCCTCCCGCCACGGCCAGGGCCAGGCCAAACTTGCCGATGGATTCAAACAGCTTGGCAGCCATGTCTCCTTCTGCTGGGCCAGCTCACACCTGAGAGGGTAAACACAACACAAGTGAAACGACTCGCTCCCCAAACCCTCAGAGAGAGCGCTCTCTGCCACACAACATTCCCTTCTCAAGCTGGCGACCGACTCCCCATTCCTGTAGAACGGACGCATCAACTCCTCTGCTTTCTTCTTCTTTCTAAAATATATTTTATTGAGTTTTTACAGAGAGGAAGAGAGAGGGATAGAGAGTGAGAAACATCGATGAGAGAGAATCATCGATCAGCTGCCTCCTGCACACCCCCCACTGGGGATGTGCCTGCAACCAAGGTACATGCCCTTGACCGGAATCAAACCTGGGACCCTTCAGTCCCCAAGCCGACGCTCTATCCACTGAGCCAAACCGGTTTCGGCTGCTTTTTTGTTCTTCCACCACTTTAAGAAGAGGGGACTGGAGCACGGGGCTAACACCTGGGACTGAGGCAGGGGCTCGATGCCCACAGGGAACTTGGCACCACGCTAAACCACCCTCCCCTCTTCCGGACAAACAGACCCCCAGAGAGGCTGCGTGGCTGGTTCTGTGCAATTTTGGTTTAGGAAAATAACTCAGTGAGACAGGCCTGTAAGCCAGGGCAAGAGAAATGGGGAAACCGAGGAAGATAGCTAAACAAATAGACAGAGCAATTTGCAAGATAGAGAAGGCCACCTCCTTAGAAATAACATCTAGGCCTCAGTTGTATTTCAGCTCCAGATCCTGAAAAGCAGCAAAACCAGGTGGGTGATACCAGGACCAGCTGCAATGACTAAGGACCCCCTGCCCTGACACTGACCAATCAGTGATCACCACCATCCTGAAGGAGCACACCTAGAAAACGGGTGCATGTTATGTGAAAACCCTCCCCTGATAACTTCCCCTACGATACTTGCCTGCAAGAGAGAAATAAAAGCCTTAAGACCAAGGGCCCAGCGCGTGCTTCCTTCTGGGGAGCAGCCCCGCCATTCCCTTTCTGCTCTTCTTCCCCCCACAGGCATGCATCTCCTAAACCCTAGAGCAGTGTTTCCCAAATTTTTGACATCTGTGTACCCCTTCTATAATTTTCGTAGTGCTGAGTACCCCTCATACTCATGAGAACGCAGAATTAGGCGCAGCTAAGCATGGTGCAAGGCATATCCCCACCGAACTCCGGTGCAATGCGTACCCCCACCAAAGTCTTCCCGTACCCCGGGGGGTACGCGTACCACACTTTGGGAAACACTGCCCTAGAGGACCCTGCAAGGCTTGCAACCAGGGGAGCAATGGGCAGTGGCCCCTCTTCCCAGGCTAACCCCTGAACCTGATCCCAGACACCCTTTCCCTGCCTGACTTCCCAGAGAGCCAGGGCAGCCCAGTCTAGGCTCTCCTGTTGCTTCTAAGCTAAGCCCTTTCCCGTTCTGCTGTCCCCAGCTTTAATAAATGTTCCCTCAATGTCACCTGGACTCATGCTGGGAAATTTTTTCTGCACTAAGTCAAGAACCCACACAGTATGGGCTGGCCCTAGGCAGACTGGCCAGGGGTCAGGTCCTTTTCGGTAACAAAAGTGTTGCCACATAGTGAGTCCCACAGCAAAAAATAGCGATTGCTAACCTTTACATCGGAAGGTCTTCTAGAGGCAATTTATTTAACCCTCACACCAACCCCTATGAAGTAGATTATTACAGATGAGGAAACTGAGGCACGCCGTGAGGTTACATGAGGAGCCCAGGATCACACAGCATGAAGTGGCAGAACCAGGATTAGGGCCTACAGGTCGAATTCTAGAAGGCACAGCTCAACTCCCCACCATATGGCTTTTCAACAGCAGGTATTAAGAATGACCTATAACAGCCCTAGCTGGTTTGGCTCAGTGGATAGAGCGTCGGCTTGGGGACTTAAGGGTCCCAGGTTCGATTCCGGTCAAGGGCATGTACCTTGGTTGCAGGGTGTGTAGGAGGCAGCTGATCAATGCTTCTCTCTCATCGATGTTTCTAACTCTCTATCCCTCTCTTTTTCTCTGTAAAAAAACAATAAAATATATTTTTTTAAAAAGGAAGAAAAGAATTACCTGTTTGACATAACATTCTGGGACCAACATAACAAGGAGTAAGTGGGCAGGTGGGGCTGGGCCGGTGGCGGGAGCACGGCGGACCTAACAGAAGCCACTCCCAGCACTAACTTCTCAACGCTCCGCCCCGTCGTCGCCATCCACTCCGGTCCCAAACCCTCCCTCTGTCCCTCCAGGCCAAAGCCCCTGAGCCTACCCTGGTCGCTCCTCGGGCATTTGACTATGCCTTCCCCACCGCCAGGACGCCCAGCCCTGACCGCTCAGCCTTTCCACTTCGTACTGCTTCTGGATTTTTCCTCACCCTGCCCCCATACACACCTCCCTTACTCCACGCAACTCCTGGCTCGTCCTGGGCTCCCCCCGCACCCCCGTCCCGCGGGGCGGGCCCACGCACACACGCCGCTCTCCCGAAGTGCACACGGGAGTGCAGAGAGGGACTGCCGCGTTGCCCGGAAGCGGACCACAGCCGTAACCCCCCATTCTCACCTGCTTCTACTCTGACCTCCACAAGGCTTCCCCAGCCACACATACTGCGCACGCGCCTGGCAGCTCCTCCTCTTCCCCGCCCTCCTTCCAAGATCCGCGCCTCCGATTGGCCGGGAATGGCGCTGTGCATTCTGGGAAGGGTGGCTTTCCGCCTCGTCCTGGCTTCTGGGCTCTTAGCAGATGAACTACAATTCCCAAGAAGCCATGCAACGGCCGACCCACGCTGGAAAAACCTTTTCTCTTTCGCGTTAACCGCCCAGAGGCTGCCGCAAAGCCTTTTGGGGGCTGTAGTTTCCTGGGGGATAAATGCACGTGCCTGTTGATGCTAGAACCTCCTGGTAGATGAGCCTTGTAAAAAGTAGCTAGGTCTGCAGCTAGTGGCAGGGATGGGCTGGGAAAATATACAGCTGATGGAAGCGTGGGTGGGCACCTTGGAGAAACTTGTGAAATAACGGTTGGGATGAGAGACCTTAAAGGAAAACAAGAGGTGATCTTTTTTCCACAGCCCTGAGAGTCCTGGAACATTGATTACCAGAACCATAAAGAACCTTAATACCTGAGGGTTGAGCATCTGGTGCACGAAAAGGACCCCAGTTGGATTCCTAGTCAGGGCACATACCCAGGCTGCAGGCTCCATCCCTAGTTAGGGCACGTTCAGGAGGCAACTGATAGATGTTTCTCTCTGTCTCTATCTCTATCTCTATCTCTATCTCTATCTCTATCTCTATCTCTATCTCTATCTCTATCTCTCTTCTGCTCCCCCTTCCTCTCTCTCTGAAGTCAATAAAAACATATTTAAGGGGTGGGGGGGAGGCGCTCAGGAAGCATCTGGACTAGAAAAGGAGAAAGGGATTTATTCAAGGTCAAACATGAATTTAGCAAAGGGGCTTGGCTTACAGTCCAGATCTCATGGACAGAATATTTTAAAAACTTATTTGGAAGAGTTGCAAGAATAGTACAAAGACTCATATATCGATATATTTTACTCAAGATCATCAATTGCTAAAAATCTGCTCCATTTGCTTTATCATTTGCTCCTTCCCTCTCTACTTCCCACACTCCTCTTCCTCTCTCTCTCTCTCTCTCTCTCTTTCTCTCTCCCTCCGTCCCTCCCTTCTGCATTCTATTTTTGTCCATTGACCCATAATGAACATTATAGTGACCCTCCCACACACACAGGATACAATCTAAAATTAGGTACTGCATTCATTTCTCATGTCTCTTTAGTCTCCTCTAATACAAGAAACTTCCTCAGTCTTCCTGTCTTTTATTACATTAAAAAGAAGAAGAAGAAGAAGGATGTTGTTCATTTGGGATTTGTCTGATGGTTCCTCATGATTAGATTCAAGCTTGGCATTCTTAGCGGGGATACTAAGTGGTATATGGACACTACATTTTTATGAAACCTGGTCCATTTCTGGATTCTAATAGGATTAGATTCTTTCAGCTTCTTTTCCCTGTATTTCTCCCCTCTTTTCTCTGTCCCCTACTTTGTCCCCATTTGGCACAATCAAATTATCAGAGATATCAAAGGCAGCATTCTTCAGGTGATATGGGTTTGCCCTAACCAACCACATTTTTCCCTCTCACTACTAGAATGCAAACCATAATAGCTGAAAGTTTAATTCTATTCTCAGAACACAGAATACTGCTTGACACACAGTGGACACTCAACAAGTATTTGTAGAATGAATGAATAATGAAGGGAGTGGAATTAGTTGGGCCAGAAAATACAGGCTGTTAGAATGGCCTTAGCATTGATTGCTTCTATTCTAGTATCACTAGCAGGAATGCTGAAAAACTAATTTTTGTATAATGTTTTATCGTTTTCAAGTATGTGTATCTAGAGCACATGTGTCAAACACAAGGCCCGAGGGCCAAATCCGTCCCGCCAGGCCTTGCAATGTGGCCCGCACCGCGCTGTCATCACTGCACTCCGCTGCGTTTCCATCACAATGACAGTTTATGACTGTTCAGTAAACCATTCGGCCCGCGATTTAGGCTGGATTTTAGATTTTGGCCCCTTCTCTGATTGAGTTTGACACCCCTAATCTAGAGTATCCTGCTTGAGCATCATTACAATCCATTGCCCCCATTTTACAGTTAAGGATGTTGAGGTTCAGAGGCTAACTGGCTTATTTGTGGTCACTCCTCTAGTTAAGAGCTGGACTGGATGGAACACAGGTCTTCTAGGTTTCAGGCTAAGCCTTATATTTGTTAAACTTTCCTCACACTGTGTCCTGGGAAGCAATGACAGTGGGAAAGCTCATGTGACATGAGGACATTGTGTGGACCTATGCTAGTTGTAGGTTGAGAGATGGGAAGATGAATAAGAATAATGATGAGGGAATTTGGGGATAACTGAATTGTCTTAAGACAAAGGTTAGGGGAAGAGCAGTACCGTTGTATCAGCCTCAGGAAGGAGTCCAGTCCATTGCTACATAGAGTATTTTCTCCTTCAGCCCAACCAATGGTGTCAGCCACCAGGGGTCTATTTGGGACCAGCTGGTCAGTGAAGCCTCTATGAGGAGATGACAGTTAAGGTAAGATCTAAAGAAGTGAGACATGGAAAAGGTTGAGTGGGGTGGGAGGAGAGCATTCAAGAGGAAACAGCACATGCATGTCAACACAGCTAAGGCACAATGGATAGCTCTGGACAGTAAAGAGACAAGGATCCCCTTTTAGATTAGACAGTTTATCACTTACAACATAGACACCGAAGAGGGAAGAGTAGTCCAAGGTGCCAGCTCCTATTGGCCCAGGAGTGGGGTGACATGGCGACAGATGGGCCAGATGAGAGCCGCACAGGTGTTAGCACTTCCTGTTGCGGAGAAGCCAAGGTCCCGTGGCGGCTAAGCAGCATCACAGTCTGCAGCTACGTCCTCAGTGGGGTGAGGGCAGAGGCTTTTCCTTAGAAAGCCTCGGACCCTTGGAGAAGCCAGAGGCTTAAGAATCGTCTCATAGCAACTTTCCTGGTACACAGGAAGTGAAGGAGAAATGGCCGTGCAGCTCCTCACAAGGCCCTCTCGTTCTGCCAAGACTTACTATCGATAGTAGGTTCAGCTGGGGTTCCAGCCTTGCCTCAGTGGGCTATGCGGAGATGTGTAGGGTTGCCAGCTGGAGCTGTTCCCCTACAATGCAAAGACCTAGAGGCAGGCCAGAGCTTGGTCCGTTGAAGAAAGGAATGAAGATGAATGCGGCCAAAGCCCTATGAATGGATGAGGGAGTTACGGAGGACTGCAATAGTGAAACAAGCAAATGCCGGGTGTTGCAGGCCTGGCTAAAAAGTTTTAAGTGTAACGAGAAGCCCCTGGAAGTTTTTAAGCATGAGAGTGGATATTTCCTCCGTGGGGAAAACAACCAACCTCACAGAAAACCTACAGGTCCTGATCGTTGGAAATCCCCAATGAAAGAGTCCAGGAAGGTCACGCTAGGGCAGTGGTCGGCAAACTCATTAGTACACAGAGCCAAGTATCAACAGTACAACGACTGAGATTTCTTTTTTTCTTTCTTTTTTTAAATATATTTTATTGATTTTTTACAGAGAGGAAGAGAGAGGGATAGAGAGTTAGAAACATCGATGAGAGAGAATCATCCATCAGCTGCCTCTTGCACACCCCCTACTGGGGATGTGCCCGCAACCAAGGAACATGCCCTTGACCGGAATCGAACCTTTGAGTCTGTAGGCTGATGCTCTATCCACTGAGCCAAACCTGTTTTTGGCAAGAGATTTCTTTTGAGAGCCAAATTTTTTAAACTTAAACTATATAGGTAGGTACATTGATATTAACTTAATTAGGGTTATGTGGTATTTTGTGGAAGAGCCACACTCAAGAGGCCAAAGAGCCGCATGTGGCTCGCAAGCCGCAGTTTGCTGACCACTGCTCTAGTGCATCTAGTTCTTACATTTTTTGATCTTAGGACTCCTTTATATTCTTAAAAGCTACTAGTTAATCCCAAAGAGCTTTTAAAGCATGGGATAAAAACAGTATATTCACAATTAAAGTGAGAAATTTAAAATATCTACTTACTCATTTAAAAATAACAATAATAAGCTCATTATGTGTTAATATAGTTTTATGAAAAATAACTATGTTTTCCTCAACATAAATATTTAGTGAGCAGAGTGGCATGTTTTATGCTTTGCCAGTCTCGGGTTCTTCGTTCATTCCGTGTGCTGTCACAAGCCATGCAGCCTGTGGGAAACTCCGCTGCACACTCAAGAGAGAACAAGAGTGAAAAACGAAAGTAACGATTTAGTAGTACCATAAAAATAATTCCTTAAAATATATTTTTATGGGTTTCATAGATGAAAGGGGAGAGAGAGGGAGACAGAAACATTGAGAATCATTGATTGGCTGCCTCCTGCATGCCCCACATTGGGGAGAGAGCTCAGTGTGGGGCATGGAAGCGCTAACATCTGTGCAGCTCTCAGTGTGCTCTGCGGAGATGTGTAGGGTTGCCAGGTGGAGATGAGGGTAGGGCAGTCAATTAGCATATTCCCTGGGCATGTGCCCTAACCAGGAATCGAACTGTGACCTCCTGGTTCATAGGTCAATACTCAACCACTGAGCCACGCTAGCTGGGCCCATCAAAATAATGTTGACTTTAAGTACCCCCTGGAAGGTTACCTGGGCCACTTGTGGAGACCCATTATTACCTAAAAGTCAAACCCACCACAGGATAAAAACTCATGCACTCATGCACACAAAGCTTCCGGCCAGTTTTTCAGTGCTTGTGTTGCTTGGGATACTAGTTAGAGCAAAGTTAAGTTGCTGTACCAAGATCCAAAAACACCGAAAGAAAAGAAGATGGAAATTAACTTCTCTTTGTTCCACGGGTCATTTATAGACCACTTTCCTTCCATTTCACTGGCCTTAAAAGATTGTCTTCATCTAACCCTGGGCCATCTGGGTTCCAGCTTGCAGGAAGGGAAAACGGAGGAAACCCAAGGCAACAATTTTGTTTTAAGCAAACAAGGCAGAAACAGCACATAAATTCTGCTCTATTTTATTGGTTAAAACGTGGTTACATGACCTCATCTAATCACAGAAGAGGCTGGAGAATGTATCCCTTAGCCGGGCAGTCAAGTAGGCAGA